GAATGGCACATATTAAAAAAACTAGCAACAACAAATGTTGGCGAGGTTGTGGAGAAAAAGGAACTCTCCTGTACTGTTGATGGGAGTGCAAACTGGTCCAACCACTATGGAGAGCTGTGTGGAGATTTCTGGACCTACTAAACATAGAGCTTCCATATGATCCAGCAATTCCACTCCTAGGTATTTACCCAAAGGACACAGAAACATCAATTCCAAAGAACACCTGCACCCCTATGTTTATAGCGGCACTGTTTACAATAGCTAAGCTTTGGAAACAACCCAAATGCCCAAAAATAGATGAGTGGATCAAGAAGATGTGGTACATATACACAATGGAATATTACTCAGCATTCAAAAAAGATAAATACATGCAGTTTGCAGCAACATGGATGGAGCTAGAAGGGATCATGCTCAGCGAAATAAGTCAGAAAGAAAAAGAAAAATACCGGATGGTCTCACTCATAGCAGGAATTTAGAAAACTTAAATAAGAGACCAGGAAAAAGACTAATCAATACAAAGTAAAAATCAAAATCAACAAGCAACTATAAACCAGAGATACACTATGGGGAGGGGAGGGAGGGGTGGGGAGAGAAACGAGTAGAGTCAAAATAAGGGGGGGGTGCGTGCAATTGTATGAGGAATATAACCATAATGAAAATGCATACATTGTGCAAAGATGAAAAATGATGTAAGAATTATATAAAATATCAAAAAAAATGTCTCTTTGAAAACACTTTAGTGTTTCTAGTTTATGTTCATATTATATTTCCCTTCCTTCTAATAACTATTCTCCATGTAAAATTGGAGGAATATTTTTCCTTCATAGGCCTTTTTTACTCATGGGATTGAATAATGGGAACTCTGATTTCTTTTATGTTTTTAAATTTTTAAATGTAGTAACTTTTCTCTTCCATTGTTAATTTTTGGACAATATATGATTTCTCCCCGCAGGTGTAGTCACTGTAGTTCCCCTGCCACAGAGCACCCATAGTCTATCACCATATTCCCTTATGCTCTTCTGTCACCTATCCTCCTAAACTTTGATTCCTGTTAAGATTTTTGGGGTCTTATAGTTTAGTTGGGAAGACATAAAATGGTTATTGAAGATAAATGACTTGCAAGAGTGTATTAATAAATTAGCAAATGCTGGAAGACTAATGGCATAATAATAATAATGGCAATAAAAATAATAGCCAACCTGTTAGATACCAGGCAGCCTTCTACATACTTTGCATATACATTAACTGACTTAATCCTCACAACATCTCTGTGAGATAGATGCTATCAATACTGACATTTTATAGCTAAGGAAAGTGAGACAGTATGGTTAAATAACTTGCCCAAGGTCACACAGTTTATAAATATCAATCAAGTTTTGAACTGGGACTGAATTCCATAGTCTGTGTTTATAATTCTTACACTACAGTAGACAAATCTATAGGACTTTGAGGAAAGGAGTAATAATGCAGACTGAGATACTTGTCAGTGGGACTCGGGCTGGGACTTTAAGGACTGACAGTTTATACAATTAGGGAAAATAGTATGAAGGGTGACTAGATGACAGCAACATTATGAGCAGAAACTCTGAGAGAATGTTATCTCATAAACATATGAGATGGAATGTTTAAGGGGACAGTGAAACCTAAAGTATGTGTAGCACTCTTGCTCTTTTTTCTCTACCCAACTTGAATCACTCTGGCCTTCTATTCTTTGGCCATGCTAGGTGTGCTGACATCGTAGGCCTTTGTACTAGCTGATGTCTCTGTCTGTAGTGCTCTTCTCTTCTGTCTGACTTCTTTTCAGATTATGCAACCTACATAAACCACTAATCAACAAGAATTATGTTATCAGTGATAGAAATAGAGAAGTCTGAAGAGAAGCTAATTTTGGGAAGAAGAAATATTCTAATTTTGAGTTGATATTGCACATGCCTCCCCTGACTGTTGGAGGAATGGTATAGTGGTTATAACAGAACCCACTGGCTCCGTCAGTTTCCTCATCTGTAAAATAAGGATAATAAAGTCTAACAGAGAAATGTTTGAAACTGTGAACACATAATATATTTTTTTTAAATATTTATTTATTTATTTATGCAAGAACTGGGGTACAGGCCAGCTGAGCGGGAGGGTGAGAGAATTCACCAGAGAGAGTTAGAGCAGGGAACAGAAGAAGCAGACTGACGAAATACACTGCTGAGGGGAGCAGCGGGCGAGACAGGAGAGGTCCACTGTGCCATGTGGGACCCTCGCCGGTCAGCCAGGATCGAACTGGTGCTGCAGAGGCTGAGGCTAGCTTCATAGTGTGGTTCTTAACCCCTTGCACCACCAGGGAGGCCCTGAACACATAATATTTGTAAGAGAGAATATATAGAGAAAGTAGAGAATCAATTGATTAGCACATGCATTTTGTCATTGTGCCACTGAGGCTATTTCCATAGTGTTGCTATTGGTAAATAGTGCTGCAGTGAACACAGGTGGATAAAGAAGGGAAGGGGGGAGTTTGTGAGCAGAGAGGACAGTGAACTGCAATGGAGTTTTTTGGGGACTTTGGTGGTGTGTGATTATAAGCATTTGTGTGATTATAAACATTTGTAGAGATGTGACCTCTACCCCTAAAACATGTACAATATTGTAAAGCAACATTGGCTCAAACAGCATATTCTAAAACAAAATTCTTCAGTTGCATTTTGGAATGCTGGAGTCAGTGAAGGAGATAGAGAAGAAATAGTCCAGCAAATAGGTGAACCAGGAATGTAAAATATTATAGAAATCAAGGAAGGTGAATATTTTAAGAAAGAAAGAATTGGCAGTATTTATTTATGTAGAAATATCAAGAGAACAGGAACTAATAAAAGACCATTTTACTTGAGGACTAAAAGGCAGTATTTTTAGTACCATGATGGATAAAAGTTGGGTCACGGGGATTTAAGAGTGAGTAGTGAGGGGGAAGAGTGGTGGTAACATCAAGTGCATATTTAACTCACTTAGTTTAAACATGAACTCTTGCAATAAAACAATAGGAATGTATTTTCCCTTGTGAACTCTATACTGTATTTATACGTTATTGAACAGATTTGTATACACAAAATTATGGCTAGCACCCTTTAAACAATTCAGAAGTTTTTGGAAGGTAATTTTGACTACATTTGGTTTTCACATTATGGGCCGACTTTAGAACCTCCTGTTCCTACATAAAATTTTGCTCCACTGCGGTGAATATGGACCACATGGGTACAGACTGCTGTCTACAGGGTGTGGGGCAGAGACTAGTAGGAAAGGTTTGGCCTGGGAGAATTTGATAGTCCTTCTCTTGAATATTGGTATTTGCTAGAATTTAGTTTCTATCCCTGAAATTGTTCTTAAAAAAAAAAAAAGTATATTTAACTGGTCATGATTAATGATATTTGAGTATTGTTGATATTTTTTTCAGCAGTCTCCTCTGTAAGTCTGAACTTCTCAGAATCCTCCTTATGTGTTCTGGTTACATGCAGAAAAGTTTATTTCTATCAGAACATTCTCATTCAAAACTTTTTATTAATTTTTAAAATGGCTTTTTATTTATTTTTTTGGTGGCAGTTATGTATTTATTAAAGATTTATTTATTTATTTATACAAGCACTGGGCACAGTCAGAAACGCAGGAAGGTGAGACAATTCACCAGAGCCAGAGCGGGGAGCAGAACAGGCAGAAGGACCGAAGTACACTGCTGAGGGGAGCAGAGGACGCGGCAGGAGAAGTCTGCGTGCCATGTGGGACCCTCGCTGGTGGCCGGGGATTGAACTGGCGCTACTGGGGCTGTGGGCAGCTTCACAGCCCAGCGCTCATCCGCTGCGCCACCAGGGGAGGCCCAAAATGGCTTTTTAAATAGAACTTGTTTAACAGGAGCATTTATAATAATTTAGAATGGGTTGTTGGCTTGTCAGTGAATCCCAACTGACAGAAGTCATAAAGGTTGTTGGTGTCCAACAAAATTGTAGGTTTTGCTTTTTTTGACTTCCAAGTTATATAATTGAACTTCGGAAGCTATGTAAAGTGTGGGTGATGGCTATATATAAAAACACTATTCTTCCTGTTGACTAGATTATTGCAAAAAAAATTTTTCAGATATAGGAATATTTGAAAAGTTGAAACTTAATTTTTTAAAGATTTATTTATTTTTTTATACAAGAACTAGGGTACAGGCCAGAGGTGTGTGTGTGTGGAGGGGGTGAGAGGATTCACCAGAGACAGAGTGGGGAACAGAACAGGCAGATTGACTGAAATACACTGCTGAGGGGAGCAGCGGGCGAGTCAGGAGAGGTCTGCTGCGCCATGTGTGTAGCTCCCTGGTCGGGGATAGAACTAATGCTGCAGTGGCTGCAGATAGCTTCATAGGTTGTGTCTTAACCCCTTGTGCCATTAGGGAGGCCCATCTAAACTTAATTAAAAAAAAAAACTTTATTATTGCTTTTAGTCACCTTAATAATTCTCTGCAGTAAGGAGTCTGGATACCTTTTGGTTTTGTAGATGATACTTAGGTAGAGTGATTTGTCCAAGATCACATCAAGGTAGGTTGTAGAGCTGAGTTAGAATGGATCTTCTGATTCAGTTTAAAGCTTCTTTTCTATGTTATGGTAACACAATACATTACTATGGTTGTAATACCATTTTGTTTCATTCTGTTACTTCTATTACTACCAAATGATGATAAATCTTAACTCTCTAGTAAGTCTTCAAACTAATGTGACCAGAAGACTTACTGGTGGGTGGGAGTGTTGGAATGATAATGTACCCAATTTTTGATAGTCTAGTCCTAATGGAGCAGTTATTTAGCTATAAATAAACTATACGGTGTTGATCAACTTTTGATTTTTAGCCAGAAAGAGGTAGCAACAGCTCTGGATAAATGTATAGGAGAGAAGCTTATGAGAAGTTCAGGGCTAAAGCATTAGATTTCATCCTGTGGTCCTATTGTGCATTACTGCATTCAATAAGGGACTTTTCTATACTTTCTGTTACAGATGCTGAAAATTTCTTCTAAGGAGAAATATCCCTTATTTACTTTTGTAAATGGTCATTCCAGAGACTATGATTTTACATCTACTACAACCAAAGAAGAAGACCTATTCTCAGAGGATGAAAAGAAAAGATTAAAAAGATTTAGCACGGAAGAGTTTGTTTTGCTTTAAAAATCTGTATATTTGTGCTTGGTGAGAAGAACTCCTTTGAAGGGGGAAAAGTGAAGAGAAACAAGTGTACTTGAAACTGGTTTATTTTCACAAATATCTTGATTTTATATGTTCTTTAAAAAAAGAACATTTGAAAATATACAAGTAAAAGATATTTTTTCTGAAAGAAATGATTTAATGAATCTTGATTTCTAATAAATGTCAAATGATTCTGGCTGCATTCCTATTTCCCTAAGATCTGCTAATGATAACTTTATCTTAACTGCAAGCCTTTGAGTCTTCAAATTCTTCCACTGAGGCCACTAGTTTCCTGAAGGCTTTGTGATATAGGCCCTAAAATTGGAATTACCATATAGCTTGGTACTTTTTATATACTAATGACCAGAAGACCAGAGAACAAATCTTCAGTGCTGCCTAGCCTGATATTAATGCAACCAAGGATACTTTTGAATGTATCTTGATATATTAAATAGTGATTGTTAGTGTGATATGCATATAATTATATAAGCTGAATTGTGAGTTAAGGTAATACTTAGCAATATGATTTTATAATGGCTCCTCATTTTGCTTGCAGTTGAGCCTTTTTGAGGAATGAATACAAAGTATTGATTTTTCCCACAAATTTAAAGGTTGTTTTTAATAATAGCTACACCCAATCAAATCAGATAAAGGCAATTATAAGATAGGAATAGTATTTGTTTCCTATCTCAAAAATGAAATTTTTATGGCACCTCTACTTATTATGCAGTTTTAAAATTTAAAGCTAAGTACCAAGGAAGATATTAATAGATGCTCCTATGTGATTTTTGCCTCTCATTCACATCAGTGTATTGGTGTTTAGAAGCTGTGGCCATCTATAATCTGTTCTAAGTGTGTTATGTGTTACTTAAAGGCAAATTTGTGATACAAAAGTTCAGATGTTATTATCGAGCCAGGATTATAAAATAAATACTGTAATCAAGATGTGAGAACATGCCTTTGTTTTGATTTTAATGAGATTATTTTAATCCTATCGTTTGAAAAAAATATGATCTGAAATGAATTCTGCTTATTTCTAATGAAGGAAAATAATATTGTTCTGAAAGCCAAATATTATGTTATGGAGCTTCTATGTTTCAGTGTGGAAAGGTGACTTATAAACACATAAAATTAAAGTCATTGATCTCTTCCATCAGAAAGTCTATTTGTTAGGCTTAGAGTTGCTTATAAAACTAAAACAGGATAAGCGGGTTGCTTTAGTTAGTGCCTGATGAGAGAAATCTGTTTGGCATTTTCTGGTGAAGGTAGTTTATTGAATTGAAATAAATAGTTTAAAACCTCGAATTTTCCTTCACCTTAGATAAATCTATAGAAATCCAGTGCTCTTTTCCTAGAATGCCAGAGCAGTACATGAAAGAGAAACCAGTGCTATGCCCTATTTCCTATACTATAGTTCTCTCATCTAAATTATTGCAATGGGTTGTTTTTATATACTTGCATTATTCACAGCTTCCTACAAAAAATACATCAAACAAGAACAAGTGTGCCTTCAGATGAATTCATTGTAAGTTTCTCTTGCATGAACTGTATAAAAGGTTAGCATTACAGGATAGCCTTCTATGATTTTGGCGTATTTGGGGATCACATTTAAGATTTTGGAATGAGACACAATTACACTTGGACTAAGTTGAGGTGAGAGGAAGCAGAAACTTCCTTCACATTGAAGTATATTGAAAATACTGAGACTTGAACAGATGAAACAAAACAATACAATCATCCCCGTGACTGAGAATAAATGTTTAGAAATCAGAAATTATCCGCATAATATGCACATAAAAATACTCAGTAACATGTAAGAATGAATGCGTGCGTTCATGAAAATTGAGAGATAGGCTGAGCTATTTATCTTGCCTGTTAATTGAACTTCAGCTGAGGATCAACTGAAAGCTGTATTAATTTTTTATTGGAAAGGTCTCAAAAGAAGGACATCACTAGATTTAGAATAGAGGTACTGTATGTTCTGGTTTCAGACTTTGTTTTGAACACAGATTTCATTTCAAGTTCTGTCAGCCAGCAAACTCAGTCAATAAAGCTTATGGATGATCTCTTTCAGACTGGAATAAAGGAAAGTGAAAAAAAGGACAGGATTTGAAGATGGGTGTTCTGTTAGAATTATGATAGGAGGATCCTCCATTTGGACATCAATATTAAGATACTAGATTTTACCATTAACATTTCAGAAATGAATTTTTAAAATTTTTGATGTGACTTTTAGATGGTGGAGGTTTATTTTCTATCTAATTCATAAGATTTGACACTTTGAATCCCCTTTTGTCAATGTATTAACCACCAGCAGGCAATCTTGAGAGTCATTATTTGCTGAATGAGTGAATGAAAAGATCCTTTATAGTATAAGTATATCCAAAAAAATTTCCCTGAGGTATCCATTTTCCCATTTTTACATTAAACCAACCCCATTACATCTGTACTAGTGACAAGGAAACTTGAGAGGATTAAAAGTTGAGGTCATTTTTGTTAACCTTAGGATTTAACGATGTCCAAGAACAAACATGTCAAAGTACATGTGTTAATCTATTTTGTTTTTAGAAGAATCAGAGAAACAAAACAGCAAAAATTACTTGATCTGCATAAGCTATCTAACATTAGGTCAGAAATCTCTATTTTTATAGAGCTCTCTACTTCCTGTTATTCCATGCCAGTAAGCACTGTGCTTTGGTCAAATAATATCCAGCACTTTTTTTAATCTGCTGAGTTCATTGCTGTTAGGAAAAAGTTTCATTTTCATGGCTTATCACCCTCAGTTGTTTGCTGTGTACATCTGTCTTATTGACTATATATTTGTATATAACCATTAAAATACTATAAAGGATTTTCCAAAACAGGTAACAGATGAAGAACAGATAGTGAAAACAAAACAAAACAAAAAAAACACTTGAAAAATGTTAAATAGCTATATGAATTTCTACTGAGACAGAAGTAAAATAAGGAGGAAACCAAGAATTTAAAGTAATAGTGAAATACATATGAGGTATCCAGAATACATTGATGGAGACAGTTTCTTGGAAAGGATAAAGGATTATTTTCTATAAAAAGAGCAAGTGTCTTTCAAAAAAATTAGGAGAATAAATATTTATTGTGTGGTATTTATTATAGCCTTAATATTGTCAATCAACTGCATTTCAAAGTACTATATTCAATTGAGCATTTAGACTCAATATCTTGAAAGGCTGAATTGAAAAGGTGAATATCAGGCCAGGAAAAATTGGTAACATCCTATTGATTCTAAAATATAAATTTTATATCATTTTACAGTTCAAATCTTAAGTCAGTTTAGAATCTTAAGCATTTTTGTGTGGTTTTCATGGTTATATAAAGCCTTTCTTCTTGCCTATAAACTTTGAAAAATATTGTATTTAGAGTCGGTATTGCAGATACGTTTTTGAATTAGCATTTTCCTCTCTCTTTTACATTCCTTCTTGACATTATAGGTGGCAAGTAATGGCCCAAAACATTTGCAACTACAGTTATAAAATTTCACTTATTCTCTCACAATAAGAAAAAATATGTTAAAAGTAGAGTGAATACATACTTGTTATTAGGTGAAAAAATAATTGTACTACCTTCTAACCAATTCCTCCAGAAATTTAGAAACTCAATCTTTCCTTATTGTAGGTCAACAGCCCAGATACTGGATGTCATCCACGAGTGATGCATAAAACAATTCCACAGAAAATTATCTTTCGTATTAACTATTAAAATTTAAATTAATAGTTATCAATATAATAATATATTTTATACTAAGGTAATGTAAAATTAATAAGAATTGGGAATTCATGGGTTTCAAAGAAGTTACTTTATAAGCAGGAAAGGTAAACAAAAGAAAGAAATTCAGTAGAAGTCTGGTAACAAAAGGATGTAAGAATAATTGATGGTTAAGTTTTGAGTGTGTCCAGGTGAATATACCATAGTAGACTGACACACAATGTATGAATTAAAAAGGCTTACAGACTGGGATCATTTAAGAGTGGATATAGGCAAATGTAGGCAAGAAAGTAAATACTGCCCATAGCAGAATGTGAAGATGGGGCTACCATGTTGCAAACTTCAGGGGGCACTGCTGTTAGTGTAGCCTTGTGATCAGCACCCTCTGGAGCATTATCAGCACTCCTGATAGTGCTGAGACTTAAACCCACAAATGGTAACATTTACACACTACCAACTAGTTATTCAGCATTGTTTCGACCACTTCACTTGTATTAAACCATGGCTAATGACCTTAAGATGAGGAATTAGATCTAAGAATAAGGAGACAATGAATTTAAATCCTGGGACTTGGATGATCATATAATGGAACAGGTCAGGAGAGTGCATGGTCAGAACTCTAGTTAGTAAGCAGGGTTTTAATAGAGAGATACACACGCATTTAAATTATATCTAAAATACTCTAAATGTCACAGAAAAAGATCTACCCTATACATCTGTAACCACACTTCTGCAACATATCCCATTTTTTTAATAACAGCCATCAAATGTTTTATTGTTTTAAATGTTAATTTTGGGGTTATGTTTTTGCTCTTCCATATATGTACATCATAACATATTATTTTGATTTGTCTATAATCCTTTTGATTTTGTGTTGACGTTACTCCTAAGTTTAATAAGTTGAATTTTCATTCTTATTTTCCTGATTTAACTGTATTCTGTATGATAGAGAGGGCCACCACTTATTCAGTCTTTCGTATTTTGATTTGTATATTCATATCTTAAGCCTCTGACTTCCATGGTAGTCTTTCCTGTATCACGTGACTAGTCACTAAACTTGACTCATGTGCTTGTGGCCACCAACCCATGTGTCTATGTAGAGAGAGTGTTGCGTTCTACATAGTATGTTCCTATAAATACTTAAACATTAAATGTGAAGGAACTGAACCAAATATATATATATATATATATATATATATATACATATATATGTTTTAAAAGTACATATTTTGAGAGTTTATTTTTGATAAAAGAACTGGGGTGTAGGCCAGAAGTGCAGGGGTTAAGAGGATTCACCAGAGAGAGTGGGAAGCAGAACAGGCATATCTACTGAAATACACTGCTGAGGGGAGCAGCAGGAGAGGCAGGAGAGGCAGGAGAGGTCTGCTGTGTCATATGTGGGTTAGCAACCTAGCCATGGATCAAACTCAGGCCACGGTGGTTGGCCAATGTG